GGGTCTAGGAAATCAACCTGGTGTCTTATCTCCTAGCAGAGACCTGCAGGAACCAGGCTCCGGAACTCATTAGCATTTTCCTTTGTTAGTCAATAATCACAGACCTTCAGTATTTACTTATCAGCTGGGGATGTCTCCAGGCCTGAATTCCAGCTGACCTGGGCTTCCTGACACCCTTCCCTTCCCCCTGACACCTTTCCCTTCCCCGCTTTGCCCATTTGCTATATAACAGCTTCTGAGGAAATAATAACTAGACGGCTTGATCAGAAATCCTGTCTTGCCATCATTTCTTGTGTCTCTTGTCTCCTTTCATTCCTCTCCACTAGGTTTATCAGGGACTCCCGTTCGTATCCCACGGGTTGGGATATCTAACTGAAACATATCTCTATATATCTAGAAAATCTAACTAACATGACTACAAGCCTGACTATTATTGATGATTATCCATTAACAATCTATATTTTCTAATTATACATTACATTTTTAAATGAACTACACAATCATAATACCTTAATCAAGATCAGAAATACATATACATATAACAAAATTGACCTTAAAATCCATACCAATGCAAATTATTCATATCTATATCATATCCCCCTTTAAATGTTAAAGAACATTTATAAACAACATATAAGCTTGCTCTCTTGCTTCTGGCTCTTGCTTCCGGCTGCTAGACTCTGTTCCTGTTCCCTGTTTGTGCAGAGGACTGTGATCTAGGATAGTGATCTGTGAGTCTCTCCTAAGTAAATATCCCTTTTATTATACATAATTCTGAACTAGTGTGGGATTATTTTGTATCTTCCCTCATCAGAGGCACACCTGTCTCTGCCTACCAAGTGCTGGGATAAAAGGCATATGCCACCATACCGTGTGCTAACATCTTTATGTGACATATACATTGCAAACTTACTTTGATTTCTGATTTTGATCCATATTTTTGTCTTAATCATAATCTTAATTTCTTCTGCTACCTGCCCACTACCCTTGCAAATCATTTATCAGGTTGGGAACAATGAGTTAATGGCACGTAGGCAAAATACTTTCCAGACCACAATTGATTTTAAAAAATTTAATTAAGAGTAGCTGGACAAGCCAGCGAGATGGCTCAGTGGGTAAAGATTGGCTGCCAAGGCAGATGATCTGAATTTTAGCCCCTCCCTACAAACTCTGTTGCATGTGCCCCTCCTCCTAAAATAAATAAAATATAATAAGAAAACATTTTAAAGAAGTGCTGGAAAATGACTCTATAGTTAAAATGGCACAACATTCCTTTATTGTATTTTATTTCTTGATTGTTTGAGAGAAGGTTTCTCTGTGTAGTCATGGCTGTCCCAGAACTCAATCTGTAGACCAGGCTGGTCTCGAACTCAGAGATCTGCCTGAAAGACCTGAATAAATCCAGATCCCCCTAGCAGGAAAACAGAGCCAAAAATCTAGCAGGAAGAGAAGAATCAGAAATCTAGGATTAACCAATTTCAGGGTTTCAGGAACTAGCTGAAGATAAAGGTAGATTGTAATCTTGAGAGTAATCTTGAGAAACAGAGAGATTCCCCCTAGTAATTATCACCCCCTAGTAATTATCATTGGTATAGGAACTAGCTGATTACGACCTTGAGAATGATCTTGAGAGGCAGGGAGTTGCCCCCTTGTAATCATCACTGGAATTTTCAGAGTTTTCTGTGACATCCTCCCTGCCCCCCTTTTCGGATTACTGGGCTGTGTGGTTTCTTCCTATAAAAACTACTTCTCCCAGTCACTCGAGGTCGAACTCTTCCCCTGCGTGGGTTATGAGTCTCGGCCCTAGTGCACTGGTCCCCGTCTTGTCGTCTTGTCGTCTTGTCATTAAGCCTCGTGTGATTGCATGATTGCAGCAAGGACGGTCTCTCGTGAGTTACTGGGGGGGTTCACGTCATCCTGAGGCTCAAGTGAGAATCTCCCCTAATCGGGGGTCTTTCATGCCTGCGTCTGTGCTAGGATTAAAGGTGTGTGCCACCACCACCCAGCACATACAACATTCTTACAGGGGCCCTGAGTTTGGTTCCTAACACCCAAGTTGGGTGGCTCGGCTCACTCACTACTGTCTATGACTTTAGTTCTGGGGATCTAACACTTCTGAGAGCCCAGTCACAAGCATACACTCATAATTTAAAATTAAAAAAAAAATCTTGAAGACAAAATTTTAAGATTTCTTCTTTTAAAAAATTATACTGCAGGTAAGCCAAGACGGCATTGACTGAGGGGGGCAGGGGAGCTGAGGAGAAATGGGAGTTCTTTTATTCAGAAAAGGGAAGCCATTTGGTTTTATCTTATGTGCCATGAGCCAGCAGGAAGATGTCTGCAATGAAATATCCCAGGGAATGAAAAAAAGGTATTTTATAAAATATTCCATGGTGGAGGAACTTGCTAATATATATAATATAATATGTGGTCTAGAATATGCCTGGGGATTATACAAGCCAAGGGGGCGGGGGTTGTGGATCACAGAGACAGCTGACCTGAGCTCATGGGAGCTCATGGACTCTGGATCAACATTTAGGGAGCCTCCATGGGACTAACCTAGGTTCTCTGCATGTGTGTGATGGTGTAGCTTGATCTCTTTGTAAGGCTCCTAGCGGTGAAATCAGAACCTGTCCCTGGTGCATAGCTGGCCTTTGGGAACCTGTTCCTCATGCTGGATTACCTTGTCCAGCCGTGATGCAAAGGGAGGAGCTCAATCCTACCTCAACTTGATGTACCCTGCTGTGTTCAAGCCAGTGGGAGACCTGACACTTTCTGAATGGAGATGGAGAAGGAGGAGAAGGGGAAGGGAAAGGGATTAGGTGGGAAGCAGGGGTGGGGGGGGAGAATTTAGGGTAGAGGGGGAGGGGAAATTGTGATCATTATGTAAAATAAATGAGAAAAAAATTTAAATAAATAAAAAGAATATGCCTTGAGATAAGGATATTGGGGTATTGGCTATAACTCAGCCAAGGACTTCAGAGATAAGGAGAAAACTGATCTTCACTTGTCATTCTAGCTGCCTGTCAATGTAGGCTTCAAGGCAGGTGTGGCTGTGTCTCTTTCATCTCTGCTTTCCCCACCTGAGGCCTCTGCTCTTGGAGAGAGCATGGCTTGATTCTTCAGACCATGAATTCTAGTCTTAAAAGGACAGACTCATGCATGACCTAACAGAGGAACTCACTGCACATTTCTGCCTGTTATGCCAGCAAGGTACACTAAAAATAGGAATTTGTACCTGTTTTATCCAGTTTGTGGATGAATAGTTCAGGGAACTGGTTATGAAGGTTACTGGCCTGACTAACTCCATCTTGTCCTTCTGGTTCTATGGCTTCCTTTCTCTTTCCTCTGGAGTCACCTAGATTCCATGACTGATAAACATCTTTGAAACTGGGACTCAAACTACCCCCGAGTAACGTGAACCTGGAGGTCCTGCTTTATCCAGATGGGAACTATTATCCATCACTGGGAGGCCTTACCCCAGAGCAGAAGGAATCATCTCAGGAGAACCAGACTGTTCCCTGAGGAGATGACAGAGATGACTTCCTCAGGACCAAACCTGGGACACTGGTGACCAGAGTACACCTTCAGTGCCAACGCCAAGCACCAAGGTCTTGGAGGCACTTTGACAAAGACTACCTTTCATGGATGACCTTGACTGACCCTTCACTACCCTTTGGTGGAATTTGCTACACAGTTTTTGCTTGTTCTGCCTCAGAAACATGGAACTAGCATGGACAGGGAAAGATTTTGATTATAAAACTAATAACAAACCTTGATACCCTCTTGAGGGCAAATAAGCCATTTTAGGCATCTTGATGTTCTTCTGCCTTTTGCAGGGTCATAGGGATTATATTGCGACAGAGTTTATGAGGAGGACACAAGGACACGTTTACCACCTGTCTTCCTGAGCAGACTTGTCAGATCAGGACTTTTCTGGAATCGTAGGAAGAATAAGGAACAGAACACAGCACTTCAAAGTCAAAGGAAGGAGATGGTCTTAAAGAGTCCAGGAATAAAATATAGAAATAAGAGATTCAGTCCAGGAATATAGAAATATAAAGTTGCAAGCCCAAACACATTTTGGAAAAAAAAAATAGATAAATAAAACTGGAAGCCAGTGTTAACCTTTATCAAACACTTTCTGCCTTAAGAACAGACACCCTGGCAGCCACTGTGTACAGAGGTAAACTTTTAACAATTGTCTGCTGCCTCCCAGCTTCCCATTAGGCAGGAACTGCAGACAAAGGTTATCTTCCAACTATTGCCTCTAGGGGCCCCTCTGCTCCTATTCCCTTCATTTCTAACTGTCCTCCGATGTGACTCTGCCTTGTTTCTTTCAGGGGCAGTGAAAACTGCCACAGGCCTTCACAAACACTCTAAGTTAACATTCTAATGTCCTAAACAAAAGTTGTGAAACCTAAAATGTAATGTGACTTTCAGCCTGACCTCAAGGATGTAAAAGCTCTTTGATCCACACCTGGTGCTTGATTTTACTACAAGACGAGGCCCAAAACCAGCCCCATAGCCACAGCTAGAGAAGCCCGGTCTCTGGCTGTGGTCACAGTTATAGCTGAGAAGCTTTGTGTGCCTCGTGGTGATTTTTTTTCTTTTTCTGGGCTAAAGTTTGCTTTTGGTTTAATAGACTTTGGTGATCTGTCCCCCATCATTGTGTGACACCCGGACCTGACAGTCTTATGTCAGATATAAAAGAAAAATAGGAAAAAGAAAAGAAAAAGGAAGAAGAAAAGACAAAACTAAACAGGGGACTGAGGGATTAGGTTTCCGTAGAAAGATCAGATACTCATCATAGTAGATTAATAAAATAATACAGGAAAAGCTTGATATAACAGGTGGTAGGAAATGACTTCTGATCTATTAACTTAGTCAAACTTAGAGAAATCCTGTCTAGCATGTCTGTAACCGCAAGGTTTATGGCACTGATTTTAAGAAAAAAGACATTGGGTTAAAAGAACTGATTTTATCATGTTAGATTTTAGTTCTCGTGAAATTGGCTGTTTGCCAGCAGCAAGAAACAGCAGCTGCTCAGCTGAAAGAGAAAGAAGAATCCCTTCAGCTTCATCAGGAAGCTTGGGAGCGGCCTCAGTCACAAAAGGAACTCCGCAGCAAAACCCAAAATGCTCCAGACAACCGACCAGAGGAAAAGTTCTTCAGCCGCTTAGATTCGAGAGTAAAGAAAAGTACTACTTTAGACAAAAAAAAAAAACTAAAAAAACTAAAAACAATTACGGAACAACAGAGAGACTCCTTGTCTCATGATTCTAATGGCCTGAATTTAAGCAAATATATTGCAGAAGCCGTAGCGTCCATTGTGGAAGCAAATTTAAAAGTCTCTGGTGTGAACAGTGCAGTGCACCTCTGCTCTCTATTTCACCAGCAGTGGCTGACTGCCTGCCCTCACTTCTTCCGGTGTGGAAAAAGCATCTGAAGCAAGGAAAGAGGAGAAAATGCCTAACATTACCAAGCTAAGAACTGACTTGTGTTTCATTGCAGAACTGATAATAGTGGGGATTTTCACTGACAAGGAAGGTCTTTCCTTGATCTATGAAGAGCTAAAAAGTATTATTAGTGCTGATCGAGAATCCAACACTCATGTTTCTGTGGTGATTAGCTTCTGTCGCCATTGTGAAGATGATACTGTTGGACTCATAACAAGGAAAGTCAAGAGTGCTGCAAAGAAGTTTAATTTGAACTTTCCTCCTGAGTCCAGAGAAGCAACAGCCTTTCCAGGATCTTAAAGGAGCACTTTATGTCTTTGACCAAACACCTGAAAAGGGAACACAGGGAGCTTCAGAATACTGAGAGGCAAAACAGGCGCATTCTGCATTCTAAGGTGCGCTAAGTGAGGATGGGCACAAACAGTATGAGGAATTTGCAATGTCTTACCAGAAGCTGCTGGCAGATTCTCAGTCCTTAGCAGACCTCTTGGATGAAAATATGCCAGATCTTCCTCAGGACAAAACGACACCTGAAGAACACGGACCTGGAATCGATATATTTACACTTCATAAACCTGGAGAATATGACGTAGAAGGTGATATATAGGAAGATGAAGACACTTGAAATTTTTATGAAAATCTCACTGATTTGAAAGCATTTGTTCCAGCTGTCTTGTTTAAAGAGAATGAGAAAAGTCAGAACAAAGATGCTGATTCCAAAGAGGCAAAAGAACCAAAGGATAATAAGGAGACATCAGGTCCTGATGACTTGGAACTTGAGTTGGAGAATCTAGAAATTAATGATGATATGCTGGAGTTAGAAGATGGAGATGAAGCTGAAGACCTTACAAAGAAACTTCTTGATGAACAAGAACTAGAAGATGAAGAAGCCAGCTCTGGATCTCACCTCAGACTCACAGAAGATGCCTTCCTCCAGCAGCTGCCTATGTCAACTGAGATCTAATTGACAAGGCAGCCATGAATTTTTGCATGAACATGAACACAAAGGCAAACGGGAAAAAGTTGGTACGAGCACTCTTCATAGTTTCTAGACAAAGGTTGGATTTGCAACCACGTTATGCAAGATCGGTTGCTACATTGCATCCCTGCATGTCTGATGTAGCAGAGGATCTTTGTTCCATGCTGGGGGGGGGATTTCAGATTTCATGTACGAAAAAAGGACCAGAGCAACATTGAAACAAAGAACTAAACAGTTGGTTTTATTGGAGAACTAACCAAGTTTAATATGTTCACCAAAAATGATACACTGCATTGTTTAAAGATGCTTCTGTCAGACTTTTCTCATCATCATATTGAAATGGCATGTACTCTACTGGAGACCTGTGGACGATTTCTTTTCAGATCTCCAGAATCACACCTGAGGACCAGTGTGCTTTTGAAACAAATGATGAGAAAGAAACAAGCAATGCATCTTGATGTGTGGTATGTTACAATAGTAGAGAATGCATTATTACTATTGCAACCCACCTCCAGCTGGAAAGACAGTGAGAAAGAAACATCCTCCACTTCAGGAGTGTGCCAGAAAACTTTTGTATACGGATCTCTCTAAGGTCACTACTGAGAAGGTTTTGAGACAGATGCGAAAGTTGCCCTGACAAGACCAAGAAGTAAGAGACTATGTTATTTGTTGTATGATAAACATCTGGCATTCACTGTGTGGCCAACCTCGTAGTAGGACTAGTACCCTACCAGGAGGATGTGGGAATCCATGTTGTAGATGGAGTACTTTAAGATATTCGACTGGGGGTGGGGGTTAATCAACCTAACTTTAGCCAGAGGCGTGTCAGTAGTGCCAAGTTCTTAGGAGAACTTTATAATTACAGAATGGTGGAATCAGCTGTTATTTTCAGAACTCTTTATTCTTTTACTTCATTTGGTGTCAACCCTGATGGTTCTCCAAGTTCACTGGACCCTCCTGAGCATCTGTTCAGAATTAGACTAGTACGCATCGTTTTGGATACCTGTGACCAGTACTTTGACAGAGGCCCCAGTAAACAAAAACTTGACTGCCTCCTTGTATGCTTTCAGCATTATGTTTGGTGGAAGAAAAGTTTGGAGGTTTCGACAAAAGACCATCCATCTCCTATTGATATCAATTACATGATCAGTGATCAGTGATACACTAGAACTACTAAGGCCAAAGATCAAACTCTGTAATTCTCTGGAAGAATCCATCAGGCAGGTACAAGACTTGGAAGGAGAATTCTTAATAAAACCAGGCCTAGAAAATGAGAAGGAGTCCAAAGATTCTAAGAGAGAAGGGGAAAATCTTGAAGAGGATGATGAAGAAGAAGGAGGAGGAGCTGAAACTGAAGAACAGTCTGGAAATGAAAGCGAAGTGAATGAGCCAGAAGAAGAGGGTTCCGAGGAGGAAGAGAGGAGAAGGAAGAGGAGGAGGAGGAGGAAGAAGAAGAAGAAGAGGAGGAAGAGGAAATACAAATGACCTCACAGATTCCAACAGGAGAATGAGACTGCTGAAGAGAGTGCTGAGGGGATGGTTAAAGGGAGTGGACTGATTGTTCCTCATGTAGAAGATGAGGGTTCCTTCAGTCTCTGGACAACGATTATAGAAAACCTTCAGCAGAGAAGTGGCGAATCTGTTAAAGTCACCACCTTGGTGTCGCTATTCCTTTGCATCTCAAAAGCCAGCTGAGGAGAGGGCCCCCACTTGGTGGGGAGGAAGGAGAGACTGAGTCTGCAGACACTATGCCGTTTGTCATGTGAACAAGAAAAGGCAACAAGCCGCCGTTTCAGATTCTTAATGTGTCCTTGTCATCCCAACTTGCTGCAAATCGTGGGAACCAGCAGCAAGCAGAACAAGGATGAGAATGAAAAAGCTCACATTAGAGATCAATGAGCAACAAGAGCTAGAAGGTTATCAAGAAGTGTTGCAGTCTCTTACACAGCGCCCAGCTCCAGCAAACACCAATCGTGAGCAGCAGCCAACATCCAAAGGGAGCACCTAACACAGACCTAGTCTTTAGGACTGGAGGGAGGCAAATGGATAAATCTAGAAAAAAAAAACATATTGAGTGAGGTAACCCAGACCCATAAAGACAAATATAATATGTAATTACTCATAAGTGACTTTTAGACATAAAGCAAAGAAAAACCAGCCTACAGTCCACAACCCCAGAGAACCTAGCCAACAAAGAGGACCCTATGAGAGACATACATGTATCTTCCTAGGAAGGAGAAAAAGTCAAGATCTCTTGAGTAAATCAGGAGCATGGGAGTCACAGGAGAGGGTAGAAGGGCAGAGGGGAAGAAGGGAGGGGAGTAGAAAAAAATGTATAGCTCAATAAAACAATTTTTTAAAAAAGCAAAAAAAGAAATTTGCTTTTTGCTCATTTTCTTTCTTTTACTTTAATATGTTTGTCGAATCAAGGAAGACTTTAGAAAAAGTAAAGTACCATGAAGAGGTTTTGTAATCAATGATTAAGATCTATGAGGAAATGATTTTGTGTATAAAGCCTGTGAGAGATGCAGGCTGTCAGAGTAGAGCACCATACCTAGATGTGCTTCCTTTTGTCCATCTCTCGTACAACTAAAAAGTGTCCTCTCTCCGATTTCACCCCCTCTTCCATTCTCCTGGTTCAGGCCCTGCCCTTCTCTGGAGCTGGACTCTGGCACTTCATCATGAATGCTTTATTGTGCATGCCTCTTAACCCCTGTCTCAATTTCTCTACCAAACCTACGTCTCCATTGGCATCTAACTTGGGGGGGTCACAACTTGTTTCCCAAGTCAGGTCCAGGTACCCATCCTCAATAAGCCAACTAAAGGAGCCAAATTAAACTAGAAAGCAGAGAAAGGAGATTTATTTGGTGTGGCTACGTTAGGAAGAACAAAGAGATGTAGTGAACTACCTCAGAGTCCTTCTTCCGGGTCCTAAAGTGAGAACAAAGCTTAGCAGTATGGACATCTGAGCAGCCCTGGTCAAAGAGGGTTATCATTTGACCATCATTATCTGGACTTTTGTCTTGTCCTGTAAAATGGTCTGGCAAATTATTAGAACTGTGTGAAATCTCTGGCTGGAAACTTTTCCTTCTCCGACATGAGATTCCTAGGGACATTACCATGTCTTTTGTACCCACTGTTTAGTAGTCTGATAGGTTGGGAGACACAGTGTGTCTTTCGAATATCTGCTTTCAGGCAACCCAGTAGAGGACAGGGTATACCAGACATACGCTATAACAATTAGGGACCAAGGGATGCTGGGAGTACCTGGTGACCAGATCCTCTTTGATAGTTAAATAGACACCTCGGCCATTTGACCCAGGGCTTAAGACTTAACATTTACACTATCTGTACTATTATTTTATACCCAAAGGGAGGCCCAAATAAGTTAAATTATATGGATTATATATATTCTCCACCTACTGTCCCATACAGGATGCAGCCCTGCTAGGGTTTGGATAAGTCTGTGAAAAAGGGTGCCATGCAACAGACCTAATGCAAGAGGTTTATGGGGGGGGGTGTGAAAGGCTATCTTGGGAGTGGGGGAATGAGACAAACAGAGTGACTGAGTGACAGAGAACAAACAAGACAGAATGATCGGGGTGGCCAAGATCTTTAAAGTGGGTGCATGTTGCTCTACAACTCGTATTGCAACAAGACAGTGGAAATGCACTGCACCTGGCATAACTTAGCTGCTGCTGCTGTACCTGCTGCTGATGCTGCTGAAGCCACTGCAGATTAGCTAAACCACGATTGTGTGACACACACAGAAAGCCAACTGTGGCCACCTGCAGGAAGCAAGTGTTGTTTACAGAAGCAGAAAGATAGCAGTTAATTGATCCGGTTGTTCTCATGACCTTGAATTCAGGGACGCAGTGTATAGAAATCTATGGCTGGTCTGTGTGACCAGTAACTGGTTTACCCAGGATAATTTACCACTTAAAGTTTTTCTTATGAATACTTTAACAAGATGGCTGCCACCATGAGGAAGGCAGCTGCAGAAGATGTCGATATTACTTCCAAAGATCAACAAAAAAAAAAATAAACGAAAATGGGCTCAGTGGTTAAAAACACTGCCTGCCCTTCCAAAGGTCCTGAGTTCAGTTCCCAGCAACCACATGGTGGCTCACAACCATCTGTAATGAGATCTGGTGCCCTCTTCTGGCCTGCACGCATGCATGCAGACAGAATACCGAGAATACTGTATACATAATAAATAAATAGATTTTAAAAAATAAATAAATAATTTGCTCAAACTATGAGTTGTATCACAGAGCTAAAGGAGGACATAGAAGTAAAGAAGAAACACCTCCAGTGTTTAAGAGATGCTTGCGACGACATCTTGCTGACAGATGAGGACGGCCTAATGACACCATACCAGACTGCAGACGTTTTCGTTAGCCACTCTCAAGAAGAAACCCAAGAAATGTTGAAAGAAGCAAAGAAAACTTTTCAAGAAGAGACTGACGCCTTAGAATCCCGAGTGATGTCCATCAGCAGGTATTAGTCGACTTGAAAGTGTAGTTATTTGCAAAATTTGGCAGCAACATAAATCTTCAGGCAGATGAAAGCTAAAGATCTCATAATACTTTTTTTCCCTTGTTTAATAAACTTGAAGACTGTCCAAAAAAGAAAAAAAAATACTTTAGCGAGATAAAGTAGCCCACTTGAATTCCCTAAAAGCCAACTAGAAGTCACTGCATTTCATTACTGGATGAAAAAAAAAAAGAAACAAAAAAGGAAGGACATGAGGTTCCCTGGTGTGGTAGAGTGGGGAGAGCTTTGTAGATAAAAGGGAGAGCGAAGCCAGAGGCCGGAACTTCCAGGAGAGTTCGGAGTGAACGTGACCCTGAGCCAGGCCACGTGGTGAGAAGGCAGAGGGGAGAACCAGAGAGTAAAGGGTAGACAAGAAAGGACAGGTAGCAAAAATGTCTATATTGTACAGAGAAGGGCAGCTGGGGGAAAGGACAGCCCAGTCCCTGGGCTGGAGAAGTTCGGAGGAGTGGGCAGGGTATGTCAGCCATACCTTGTAACAGGTAGGGGATGAGGGATACTGGGAGAATCTGGTGGTCTGATTTGATGTATTAAACAGACACCTTAGTGCACCATTTGCCCTGGGTCTGAGACCTAACAATCATCTGTTTCTGAAATAACAGATGCATTTAACCCATCTAGAAGTTGCTCCAGGCCAGGTGGTGGTGGTGCAAGCCTTTAACACCAGCAATCCAGAGGCAAAGGCAGGCAGATCTCTGTGAGTTCGAGGTCTACAAGAGCTAGTTCCAAGACAGGCTTCAAAACTACAGAGAAACCCTGTCTCGAAAAACAAAACAAACAAAAAATAGTAGGGGCTGGAGAGATGGCTCAGCAGTTAAGAGCACTGGCTGCTCTTCCAGAGGTCCTGAGTTCAACTCCCAGCAACCACACGATGCTCACAACCATCTGTAATAAGATCTGGTGCCCTTTTCTGGCATGCAGACATATGTGCAGACAGAATACTGTATACATAATAAACAAATAAATCTTTTTTTGAAAGACAAAGTCGCTCTAAGCACCCAGATAATGGGAGAAAGGCTTTATTGAACTCCTAATAATTGCTCAAGGAGGCTTGACTGGAGCAGAAATCTTCCAGACCCTTTTCAGGTTTGTACTATCACTTTGTAGTCTTATATATGCATTTACCTGTAAATTGTGTATGGGTTCCTGCCCCCAAATTACACTTTCAGCAACCAAACATGTTGTTGTGGTGTTCGAATCCACTGGGAACCAAAGACTTAGGCTCAATTCAAATTTAGATTAAATGAATTTATTCTTACTGCAGAAGGATTTACCTTAGAGCCAAACAGCATGCAGGTGCAGAAGAGGGATTAAGATGGGGTTTTAAGGCAGAAATCAGAAAGGTGTGTATTACAGCTACAGCTGGGCAGGAAAACTTTCACTTCTCTCAGTTGTTTCTTACTTCCCTGCTATTTTATCCTTTTCCCATAGTAAAAAGCAAGTTCTACAGAAGCAAAGGCAGCTGTCAATACCTCACAGCCATTATCCTCTTCTTACTTCACCTGTAGGCCATTAGGATCTCCCACACATTCCAGAGCAAAAAGTACAGCCCTTAGGCACGCTTGGCTCCATACTAGGTTTCTTTAGTCATCACAGGGACCTGTGTAAATTTTTTAAGTCTGACATTCTAATGACTGGGCTAGAGCAGTTCATTTCTGGGCAGGCAAAAACACAGAGCCATCAGGTTAGGGCTGGTTGTCACATCCTCACAATATTTTAGAGACAAAACCTGCAGATTTGGGTCATTTGGACAAATGGGCAATTGTCATTGAAGGACCCCAACTCGTCTTAACCACAGTTATGCCGTTCTGCAAAGGTTTTCAGATAGCAAGCTTAAGTAAGGACCTCTGGAGCCCAAGACCTCCGGAGTGCTGAGCAAATAACAGGCTTAATTAAAGGCCTCCACTGAGCAAAGATACCTGAGGTTAGAGCAAGGACAGCCTTATCAGGCTGCAAGACAGGGAATTTATGAACTGGCCATAGAAACAAAGAAAGAAAGGATTGCGAGGCCTGAGTCACGTATAAAACGGGGCTCTCACGAGTCAGGGGCCGTACAATCAGACATCTGGTCGCCAGCCAGGAGAGGGGGAGGCAGGATAAGAGGAACAATAAACCGTTGAGTATTCCCCTCATTGTTATCCAGGTTAAAAATTTATCACCCTGCATCTCGCTTCTGTAAACCTTGCTTTTTGCTCTCCTATAAAAACCTCTCACCCCCAACCGGTGGCGCGCAAGTCCTCCGAGAGACTTGGTCGCCCCGGGTATACCCGTGTATCTCCAATAAACCTCTTGCTATTTGCATCCGGCTGCGTGTTTTCGACTGATCTTTGGGCATGGGGTCTCTCCTGAAGGAAGACGCCCATGGGAGTCTTTCAGTCACAGTTATCTTGAAACAGTGCAGGCCAGAACCGCACCTTGGGCCAGCTGTTAACCTGGACCATTGTCTGCCAGGCAGAATTCTGCTCTTCCTGATAAGAGGCACAGGGCTTATCAGCTCAACAGCAGCTGTTAGCCAGGCCATCTCTGCACTGCCAGGCAGAAGCGTGCTCCTTTCGAGTGGGAATAGGGCCTAATGAGCATGCAATCCTGGACAATAGACTTTAACAGAAACGTCCTCAGTAACTCTAAGTTCTAATGATGTTTGAAGAAAAATTCTGGAGAGCTGTCCCAGCCATGTTCAGATCCCGAGACAGGGAAGGAGAATTGGTTGGAAAAAAAAAAAAAAAAAAGTCTGACCACCAGATGGAATTTAACGTGACAGCCCCAAATAGCTCAAGCCGGCTTTATTTATACTTCAGTAATAAATATGCCCCCCCATCGTCAACCTCAGGCAAAAATAAACATGTGTTTCCCAACTTTTAAACCAAAAACAATGCCCAGTATTTTGCTAGCTTGGCTAAATACCAAGCTCGGCCGTTCGGTCCTCACAAAGCTAAAAGATGATAGACGGGGGTACACATTCTCAAGACAACAATCGGGCCAGGCGGTGGTGCCCACCTTTAGTCCCAGCACTCGGGAGGCAGAGGCAGGAGGATCTCTGTGAGTTCGAGGCCAGCCTGGTCTACAGCGCGAGTTCCAGGCCGGACTGGTTCTGTAGGAGCCAGCCATGATAAACTAAATGTGAACAGATC